CGCGCTCAGGAATAGGAGGCCTTTCGTACTCTGACAACGCGCCGAAACGGTCGAATTGCACTGCGTCCACGCAAGAAAGACCGGGCCATCTGGCCTGGAGGTAAGCGTTGAGGTCTGCGTTCTTCAGGTCCTGATGAGCGGCGTTCTCTCCAGACGAGATTTCCTGCATCTAGCGCGGAAGAGACCTTGCGTCGTTCCTCGAGAGAACGACGGGGCGGTGCACAGGCATAGCTAATAGACAACACAGCCTGCACGTCGAGCTGATCTTGCTCCACATAAGCTGTACCAGCTTCAAGGGCATGAGTATCGACTCCGCTCATACAGCGAGGGTAGCAGGAGCGCGACTGGGGGACGGCCCATCGGGACAGGAGCAAAGAGAAGCCGAGAACCAACGTGTTGGCGAAGCTGATCGTCAGAGCGAGCATGTCTCCTGTCGGAACTGCTTGCCGAAATAGTATTCACAGCGCGACGCCTGGAACAGCCACTCGAGGAGAGCGGAGGCTAGCCGGCGAAGGCAAAAGGGGGCATCCCATAGAGGCAGGCCAGGGAGCGTCTCCTGTAACAAAGCTGAGATCCGCGCGGGCAGCGCTAGCCTTCCCAGAGTCAGAAGTCAAACGGCTCCAACAGTTACGACGAAGTACAGCAGGCGAATTCTCTGCTTGCGAGGCTTTGGCCGCGCAGCCTTCGGAGTCGATGCCGGTGGCCTTGAACGAGCAAGCTGAAGATGCATCTCCGAAGACGATAGGAGCCAGGAGAGACGAGAGTTGCACAGTCGAATGCCCTGCGCCTGCCAACACTGCTGCGCCACTGGGCCAGGCAGAGAGCGTGATGGGAAGGTCAAGCGGGAGTGGAGGAAACACAAGGGCGCCTGGCCTCTGAACTCCTGGCAGTGGTGGAACGGGAACAGATTCAGACGGCGCCACGGCAGAAATCCAGGGTCAAGTTGGGCCCGTCCCTCTACAGGAGGAATATCCAAAAATAGTAAAACAATAGTTCGGGGACTATTTTGTTGAGTATTTGTTTTACCATTTTGGAGTATTTTTTGCGTATGCTTTCTTCTTCGTCGAGAATCCCCCTTGTGGGCTCCGAGATGCCGCGCAAGAGGTGGTCCGGTCCGTTTCGCCTGAGACATCCTCCAAACTCTGAGCCCTGATATGCCGTGCGCGAGGTGGTCCGGCCCATTTTGCCTGAGACATCCTCGCAACTCTGCGCTCCCTGATGCCGCGCGAGAGGTGGTCCGGCCCGTTTCGCTTGAGACATCCTCCAAACTCTGAGCCCCGAGCTGCCGCCCAAGAGGTGGTCCGGCCCGTTTCACTTGAGACATCCTCGGACTTTTGCATTGATGCCGCGCGAGAGGTGGTCTGGCGCGTTTCGTCTGAGACGTCCTCCAAATTCTGAGCTCTGAGATGCCGCGCGCGAGGTGGTTTGGCCCATTTCGCCTGAGACATCCTCGAAGCTCTGAGCTCTGAGCTGCCGCGCAAGAGGTGGTCCAGCCCATTTCGCCTGAGACATCCTCGCAACTCTGACCTCGGAGATGCCGCGCGCGACGTGGTCCGGCCCGTTTCGCCTGAGACATCCTCGCAATTCTGAGCTCTGAGATGCCCTGCGCGAAGTGGTCCGGCCCGTCTCACCTGAGACATCTTCGCAACTCTGAGCTCTGAGATGCCGTGCGCAAGGTGGTCCGGCTTGTTTCGCACAAGACATTCTCGCAACTCTGAGCTCCCAGATGCCGCGCAAGAGGTGGTCCAGCCTGGGGGCCCAGAAGACCACATGTTACATATCCTCCCTGGGAGCCCCAGGAAGCGCCAGAGAGCTCCAGAAGGCCGCAGGACGCCCAGGACAGGCCCACGGGGGCCCCAGGAGATTCCCAGGAGGCTCCCAGGAGGCCCCCTATCAGAACGTGTCAAGTTAATCCACGTCTGGTGTCGATTCGTTGATGTTTCCTGCTCTTGTGCCCCCCCCTTCATTTTGAGGGGCCCAAACGGCCACATGTTAGATATCCCCCCCTGGGAGCCCCAAGAGGCTTCAGGAAGCCCCAGGTGGAGTTCAGGAGGCCACAGGAGGCCCAGGAGGAAGCCCCAGGAGGTCCCCAGGAGGCCCCAGGAGGCCCCAGGAGGCCCCCGCAACTCGGAGCTCTGAGACGCCGCGCTCGAGGTGGTCCGGCCCGTTTCGCCTGAGACTTCCTCGCAGCACGTTTCGCCCGAGACATCGTCGCAATTCTGGGGTCCGAGATGCCGCGCGCGAGGTGGTCCAGCCCGTTACGCTGGAGACATCCTCGCAACTCTGGGCTCCGAATGCCGTTCGGGATGAAGAGGAGGTGGAGGAGGAGGAGGAGGAGGAGGAGGAGGAGGAGAAGGAGAAGGAGATGGAAGGGAAAGAGGAGGATGATGTGGATGAGGGAGCAGGCAGGGGAGGGGGAGGAGGAGGAGGAGGAGGAGGAGGAGGGAGAAGGAAGGGAGTTGCAGGAGAGGACCTAACGGGAAGCGAGTGTGACGTGGACTTGTCAGAACGTGTGCGAGAGGTTGTCCGGCCCGTTTCGTTTGAGACATCCTTCCAATACTGAGCTCCAAGATGTCGCTCGCGAGGTGGTCCGGCCCGTTTCGATTGAGCCATCCTCGCAATGCGAGGCTCGAAGATGTTGCGCGCGAGATGGTCTGGCCCGTTCTGCCTGAGACGTTTCGTAGCACAGGGGCTCCAATCACAACCTCTCTCATTCCTTCTCCCGCCTCCCTCTTCCCGCTTCCCGCCTGGCTCCCTCCCCTCCTCCCGCCTCCCGCCTTCCGCCTCCCGCTGCTGCGCCTCTGCCTCCGCCTCCCCGTCCCCGCCGTCGTCGTTTCTGCCGCCTCAGCATCCGTCATGCGCGCCCTGCCTTCCGCCCTCCCCAGACATCCGACGTCACGATTTTTCTTTTGAGACGTGCGCCGCGTACCTCTCGATATCATCCCCGGGGGAACCATCACGACATGCCCCCCCGCTTTCGCGCCCTCCCCCGCTTCCCCTTACAGTTGCTTCCGAGTTCACAGCATGCCGGCGAAGCCTCTCACAGTGCCGACCCGACAGTTTGCTCGTCGACCAGGCGCGAGAGAGTACGACACCCTCTAGCGTTAGCTTCGTGATAGGCATGCGTCACATAAGTTTTCGTGTAAGCATCTCATGTGCAAACATCATGTTATCATGTTCTAACATGCCATGCCTGCCCGCACTGGACGGGCACGCAATCGACCTTGGAAACCGCAGTGGGTTTAAAAGCCTTGTTTGGGGATGCTGCATTCCGGCTATACTTTTCCATCGAAAATCCCCCTGTGCGGGGGGCACGCCCCACTTAAATCCAGGGAGGCGAGGGCAGCGGCGGATGGCGAGGAGGCCCAGGAGCAGGAAGGGCTGGGGGTGGGCCGCTGCCGCCCCCTGGCAACGAGCGCGGACACGAGCTCGACTCGCCCTGGAACTCCACAGCGGCAGAGGCCGCAAGTGGCCGGCCAGGTACATGAGCTCGACTCGCCCTGAAACTCTCCGGCCGGACGAAGGGGGAGGATTGGGAAAGGGGGGGTACGAAATTTGCTGCATGCAGCTGGTTTCGGCCCCGCAGAGGGGCCCATTCCTCGATACATGGCCGCCTCCCGGTGCCAGGAGGCGCAAGGAAAATCAGCTACGTGAGCTGATTGTCAAACCCCCCGTTTGCTATCCCCCCCTTTCGCCCGGCCCGAAACTCGAACGGCAGAGGCCGCAAGTGGCCCATGAGGGGAATCAGCCCCGTGAGGGGAAGCGGGTTCGATCGTCATCGGAGCGGGGGATGTTGTCGGCAGGTGTTTGCGCGGAAAAAAACATGAAAAAAAAGAGCGGGGGGAAGGGGGGCGGCGGCGCCGCGAGCAGCTTCGACGGAGGAGGCGGAGGAGGAGGCGGGCCGATGCCCTTCGTCGCTCCACACCGACATGACGCGGTCCCTCGGGGCGGGCGACGCGCCGGGCCCGTTCCAAAAAAGGCTGGCACGTGTGCGGAAGGGGGCAGCACAGCTGCGGCTGCGGTTCGGGCTGGAAGGGGGGAAGAACAGGAGGGAAGGAGGCGGAGGAGAATGAGGAGGAGGACGGAGAAGGGATCGGAGGTTGATAGACTTCCTACTTTGACACGTCGATTAGCGAATTGGCTGGTCTCGGTTCGCGGTAGGACGTCGCGGCTGTCATTTTTGCGGGTCCAGGTCCGTCGGTTTCGGTCCCATGCCGTTTTCACGAAGGAGAGGTTTATTAAAGGGAGGTTTGTTTACCGACGAAATGAGGCAAGGAGGGAGGAGGAGGAGGAGAAGGAGGAAAAGGAGGAAGGATGATAAGGAAGAGGGACTACGCAGGACGGAGGAGGACGCGGACGAGGTCGCTGAGGATTAATGAGGGCTACCCACAGAATTTGGACGCAGGACGGAGGAGGACGCGGACGAGGTCGCTGAGGATTAATGAGGGCTACCCACAGAATTTGGAGGTCCCATCGGTCTACCGGGAGGTTAACGACCCTTCGAACGTAAGGGGGCACGGGGGTGAGGGGGCAGGTGGTGGGCGGGGGGACGAGGGATGAGGGATGAGGCGGAAGGGGGGGACTGAGAGGAGGGAGGAGGAAGGGTTGAGGGGGTAGAGGGCCCTAGGGCGCTCCAAAGCATACTGCGAGGGTCCAAGAAGTGTCGCACTGGCGACAGGAGAAACAGAGGAAAGAGGGGGAGGATTATCAGGACAAAGGGAAAGAGGATGAGAACGAGGAGAGAGAGGAGGAAGAGTAGCAGGAGACAGGGGGGAGACAGGGAGGGGGAAAGGCGGAGAGACGAGGGAGGAAGATCAGGATGAGGTGGAGTACTCCGCACGAGGACGATGGTGGACGAGACCCCTGGGCGACAGCGCAAGGACCGGCTGGAACACGGAGAGGAGCAGAAGGACAAGGAACATGTGGAGGCGGAGGACGATGACGACGACGATCACCATGATGACGCCGATCGGGGGGTGGCCCCATCTGCCCCAGCGCAGGTCCGCCTGCTTGTCAACCCCGGCCGCCGAAACCATTCTCCGCCGTGCAGAGTTGGCTGCTCGCGCTGCCGCGCATGGACGACCTGGACGCGAAGATGCCGCGAGCAATGGAGGAACCGCTTGTGTCCTTCCACCAGGAGAAGGAGGAGGAGGAAGAAGAAGAGAAGAAGGGGAAGAGCACGAGGAGGGGCTGGAGGACGTCGTCTGTTTGCGAGCGCGTGCGGGCTACATACATATTTCTCCAGATACAGATGTGTGTAAGTATGCAAATGCATTTGTAAAAACAATATTGAGTTGACGCTTCGCGCCATGCTCTTTGGTCCTTCAATTTCGGCATAATGGTGGAATGAGAGAGAAGTAGATGAGTAGAAACAGCGACGGATCCGCGTTGCAGGTCTCCTCGCCTTCGTACTATATGTGTTGCTGCTTTCGTTCCCCATGTTTCATATGTCACCTCCTAGTTATCACCTTGCCCTGCGAACTCTGCCCGTCCTCCTCAGTTGTTGTTGCGGAGGCTCCTCCTTGAAAAGCCTCTTGGGTGCCTCGCGAAGCCTCCCTCAACGACCAGGTGACGATTTGGAGTGCTTCGGGGGGCAGTCCATCTCGAGCTGTGAGGAGCTCTCTTCGGGCCATTTTGGATTCCTGGTAGGACGACTGAGGGCTTCCTTGGACTGTCTGCAGGGTTTTTTGGATCGTTAGGTGACGATGTTCGGGGCCTCTTGGGCTGTCCCGGACGCCCGGAAGGCCTAAGTACCGAATATTCAAAAAAAGTGATTAACAACCGTAGGTGCATTAGTGCCGTTGTTGCATTTGGAGGGCTTCTTGGCGATGCTCTTCGTCTGGCGGGGACTTTTGGCCATCCTCCTGACCGCTCTGCGTGTGTTTCCGAAGGCCAGCAGAGAGGTCCACGAAGCTCAGAAGGCCGAAGAGCGCCCTGCATGGAGCGTTCAGGGGGCCCGGGGAGGCCAAAATTAGCTAGGGGTAGCGCGGATCCGAGTTCCCGGCCTCTTTAACGTACATTAAGTGTGAGTATTCGTTAATACGCATTTGTATATATATATATATATATGCATGTGTGTGTCTATAAATATCTATATGTATACACTTACATACGTACATACATACATATATACACACATACGCAATCATACACATACAAGACTGCATTCACGCCTCGCGTCATGCAGCTTGGTCCTCAAGTTTTGCCTGCACGTGGAATGAGAGAGGGGTAGATGAGTAGAAACAGCGATGACTCCTTGTTTCCTGTTTCGTCATCGTTATGTTATGTGGTTCCTTCTCCTCCCCTAATGTTTCCTCTTCCTCGCTCTCGCCTTACCCTGCAAGCCCTTCCCGGTCCTCCTTAGTTTTCTTCGGGAACTCGTCCTCCGACAGGTTCTTGGGGATCTTGTGTTAACTTTTTCAGGGGCTTCTTGGGGGCTTCTGGAGGCCTCCTGGGCGCCTTTGGGGAGGTGGAAAACGGTGCATATCCCCACCACGTGTTTCAGCCGCAGTGGCAGCACCTGGTCCGCAGGACCCGCATGGAGTTGGGTTGGAGAGCTCCAGCCGTGGTTGTTGTCCCCGGAACGTCGCGATCATTCCCCTCTTGCGAAAGAATGATTCTCCACGGCTTCGGGCGTCGGGAAGGGACTATGTTCTGTTCTGGCGGACCAGCCCGATTGTACGCTTGGGCATTGCTTAATGGGGGGGGGGCTGTACACGGGGAGGCTTCCCCCCCCCCCCCTATATATATATATATATATATATACATCGCCCCCCCATTGAGCAACGCCCGATACGATCGGCCCGCTGCTGCGGCCTCGTGCGCCCGCCAGGCGTCGCCGGTGGCGGCGCGGGCCCCGCGCCGCGCCGCGGGGCAAAACAAATAAGAACGCCTCTTCAGAACATCGACATGCTGCGGTCCGCATGGGGTGGCCCCCAGCGAGGGCAGGAATGCGGGGAGAGGGGGAAGGGCTGAAGAGCGGAGACGGGAACATGACCATGAGACTTTGCTCGCAGCCGCCTTCGCACGTGTACCATGTAATACATACACATATGTGCGTGCGGCTCCCATGTGAAGTTGAAGGTCGAGTGGAGACAGTCGGAGGCTGCTGGAGCTGGTCGTGCCACCGGTCGCCTAGGCGTGCGGATGTGCGTTCATGCGATCCCATGTCGAAGCTCTCCCGTTTGTCGGACGAGGTGTGGCTCCGATTCCAGTCCCCGAGGGGCCCTCCTAGGACTTCCATCTGGTCTCTCCACTCCGGGGCCCTTGTCGAAACGCTTGTGGGAGCCTCCTCAGAAGCCCGGATGTGCCAGCATCCAGCTCGCGCGCGATGTCGTGGCCCCGTTCTTGTGCACGCGGCTAGCTTAGCCACGGCCGCAGCATGTGGACGGCCGCAGCACCAGGGCGGTCGATTTTCGCCACACCGATGGCGCCGATGCGTCACCGACGTCGCCGATGCATCGCCGATGCCTCGGCGATGCAACGCGGTCCCCCGACCACATCTACTCCAACCTCAACTGGGAGGCCTCTGAATATGTTGCTGTTTCTCGCGTGCCTGAAGGCTTCAGCTGTACGCCTGTTGTTCGTGCACAGCCGTGCTCATCACACGCCATTCCAAGAACGACGTCAGAGCGGAGGGCTGAGACACATGGGCCTCCAAGCCTTCCGAAGCACCCCCGAGATCGTTGCCTTCTTTGCTAGCCTCGGGCTTACACGTCGGTAAAACGGTCGTCGTGATATTTCATGACGCCTGGAGATGCGGACCTTTGGCCCGAGCATTGCCCTCCCGACAAATGTCCCGTAGCGCGTCTCGACGAGAACTTCGGTGCGGATCGGGCCGTGGCAGACGCCCCGAGAGGCTAAACAACGAAAGAAAAGATGCAAGCGCAAAACACATATGCATATATGGGAGATCTCATGGCCAGGCTCCACCGTTCCGGGTTCCCCGCGCTGGGGGTCTCCGAGAGCGCCCAGAGAGGGTCGAGAGACCCAAGAGGCCCCCAAGACGCGCCAATAGGGTCCCGAGACTGCCTAAGACCGCTCGAAAAATTGTTGAAGAAGCCCAAGAAAGCACAAAGACAGCACGAGATGCCCCCGTGACGGCCCCAATACTACCTAAGAGAGCACTAAGACGGCCCAAGAGGCTGCCAAGACGGCGCAAGAGGCCCCAAGACAGGGGCAAGAGCTGGGATCCGAACGAACATTCCGAGCCCAGACGCCAAGAGCCGCGGTGAGGCCCCCGAGGCGCCCACCGAAGTCCCAAGAGGCCACCATGAGACCCCCAAGAAGCCTCAAGATGTCCCACCCCCAGAAGCTCCCAAGAGCCCTCCAAGAGCGTACCCCAAAAGCATCCAAAAGATTCCCAGCATGATGTTGCCAGGCTCTGAGTGGCTCTCGGGCATCCCCCCTTATGCTGCCCTGGGTCCTGCTCGTGGCTGCCTTGCGCGCCTTCCTGGAGCTTTCCTAGGCGTTTGCACAACAAAAGCTAGGGGATCCGCCCCAAACGCATACCTATGGCGCGAAGTCCCGCTGGACGTCGCCTCTATGAGAAGAGTGCGCCGCATCATCGGTCTGGTACCGTGTGTCGTGCAACATACCAACGCTTCCCAGAAAGGCAGAATACGACATAAGGGAACCCAGAGTCCCCGCCCAAGACGGGTTTGATTGACCCTTGCAGCCCTTGAATGACTCGAGCTGCCCCGTATCATTGGCTCGCAGGGTTACGATATCTGAAGGCACGTCCGAGATGGTTCGAGGGGCTCTCGAGACGCCCTGGAGGTGTTCAAGACCGCTGAAGACGGTCCACAGGCCACGAGCCCCCCGAAGCCCCCCAACAGTTTCCTTCTGGCGGCTGCTCGGTGTATCTGCTCAGTGCAGCGGGGGGGATTCCTTGGGGCCTAATTATGAAGATCGCAGACGCCTGAAACGTCTATCAGGAAGCACGCTCCCAAATGTTGATCCTTGCGGGGTGATGTCCATCGTCATCCAATCCTGTGAGGTTGGGCTGGGCCGCGCTAGAATCTGAGCGCATATACGTCTACACGTACATAAAAATGACTAAACAAATATATGTATGCATACATATATGACTCACTTGCGGCAGAAACTCCAGACTGTTGTCTACATGGGCCTAGCAGTCCTTATCGTAGCCCTCACTACGACTAGTGTTTGCTTCTATTGCGAGAACTACACATACAGATTACGAGTTACGAAGGATAGAAGCTAGTAGTGTTACGAAGTGCGTGTGCTCATTATAACCGCACGCTTAATAAGCATATGATTGGTAGGACTACCAACACTAACTCTACTTCGTAGCCAGCCGGCTTACCTTACAACCGCCACCACCACGATCTCTAATATTAAACACAGATATTAACATTATTAGTTATGCGAATACGATTGCCCGTACTGGTACGAATGCTATTACTTGAAGTGTTACTCATATTGTCATTACTCCTGGTAGGAAAATCAATACCGAGCCACGGGAGCGACGCCCGACCGATTCAGGGAGACCACGGAAGGCCACGGCAGGCCCAGGCGCTTGACCGATTCCAAATCCGGCGATCCCCGCTTTCCTTGGTATCGCTCGGACATGTGCATTTTGTCTCGGCGGGGATTATCAAGGAGCATCCTGGATCACCCTGCGAAAAAACACGCACGAAACCGAACAAAAAGCACAGGGAATGGACGTCCGAGTGATGACCAGCTTCCGCTTCTTAGAAGAAATACGTGGGACCCTTACAGACAAGCTTTTTGAGCAAAAATCGTGGTCCCTTCTTCTCGATCAGTGAGCCGTGTGTTGCTAGAAGTGTTTCTGGCTCAGGTTCAGAGCATCCCTCACGAGACCCAGGGGGCCTAAGAGGCTCCAAAATGGAGCGACAAGCTGGGGCACCCTAGGCCAGGGACACCTTCAGCAACCCCCGAGGGAGTGCACCCCCCTTGCCCCTCGGAGGAGGCAGGAGAACAGAAGCCCACGGGCGGGGAGGTGCGACTTCGTGTGCGATCGCCCCGAGGTGCTCAAAGCGGTGCGCGGCCCCAGCGCCGCCCCCTGTCGCACCCGGCCACGTCCCCCCCTTATTCTTTCTTTCATTTCTGTTCCTCGTCCTCTGCCTTCCTGGTATCTGGTATTCGCCTCCGCTCCCCCACCAGGAGGGGGGGGTAGGAGGAAGTTGCAGAGGGAGGAGGAGGAACAGCAGCAGCAACAGTAGCAGGGATTTGGATGGAGGAGAACGGGGAGAAGGGGGCGAAATGAAGGAGGGGGAGGAGTGTTGAGGAAGAGGGCAGGAGCAGGAGGAGGGATGATCCCTTCTCCGAGACAAAAAGGGAGAGGGAGCTGAAGGAGAATGCGGGTGCGTTGAGGACCACGAGGGAAGAAGAACGGATCTGGACAGATGGCAAGGAGATGACGATGAAGAGTGGATGCATATATGGATGGATGGATGCCCACGTGTACGTATGCAAAGATGGATGGCTAGGTGAGTGGATTGGTATGTGCATGCCTTCCGGAGATGGGGATGGTGTATGCAGGGCGGAGCACCGAGGGCGGATGCCGTTGGACCGAGGCGGAGCAAAAGAGGCATCATCCAAAGTAGCAACGTTTGCAGCAACATGCGCCGCAGCAGGATCGACAGGGGTTGATTCCGGCGGTCGCCCTCTCGACTGGAATTCGCCAGCGCGCGCAGAACAGAAGTAAGCAAGCTCCCTTTTGCTCGCATTTCCAGTTGTCCGCGGCCGCCCTGCCGCCGAGCGAAGGCCTAAACACGGTGACGGCACCAATAGCCAGCATTCGTTGGCGATTGTCGAACATACAGTCAACCAGGATGGTAAGGATGGGGCAACTTTCCACGGCTACCCTTGCATCCTTGCCCCTTCGGTATTCGGCATCCTTCGGCATTCTGCTGCGCTCCGCACGGAAAACGTCAACATGGTGTTCCAAGGCCCTTGCATCCTTACCGCGCATCATTACTACCCTGGTCGAGTGAATGGCGATTTACCGGTGCGCCTCGGCCGACAACCTAACTTGAGGCTTCGCGGGCGGATGGCGCGCATGACTCGAAGCAGTCGCCATTCGGCCGGATGGTGCCCGAACCCGATTTCGCCATGGGTCCAGTACCAATGTTTGGGTCGTGAGTTGCCGCGAGCGTTCCAGGCATCGCGATTGGCGGTTGTCTCTCGCACCACTCATGCATTGCGCCATTGCAGAAGACATGTCAAACAAGAAACCACCCCGCTTGCAGGTGCCCCATGGGAATGTCTTATCTCCCGAGGGCCCCAGAGACCCGAATGGTAGGGTCGTACAACGAAGAACCTCCAGGCGACAAAAGGAGGCATACACAACATCATGACGAGCATTATTGTCAGCGTGGATCCCAAATAGTGCGTCATTGCATTCACGACGTGTCGCATAGGTGGTGCAGTCTGCGCAGTTTTTGCAGCCTATATCGTGCGTCCTGAATCGCGAGGAAGTCTCGAGCGACAGCTCGATTCCCAAATCAGTCGCGAGGAAATCTACAGCGAGAGCGTGACTTCTGAATGTCGAGGACGCGGCGTCTGAATAAATAGCGAGGGAGTCCCAAGCGAGAACGCGGTTCCAGAAAAACGTGTCAGGAAGTCCCGCGCGAGAGCGCGATTTGGGAATGAATTGTGAGGAGGTGTCAGGCGGGAGCCGTTGTTGTTTTAGTTCGAGGGCCAATAGCGCAGTTTAAGAAGGAATATTCCCCCTGAGAAACATACAGGTGCGAACCTGGGGAAGTGCACTTCAATTGAAAACCACATGTGTCATCGGAGGGGGATCTAGAATCACTATTCGTCAGTAGTGAGGGCTCAAGAGCAACATCAGCAACAACAGCAGCAACAACAGCAACAATAACAACACCAACAACAACTACAACGACAAACCCAACAACAGCAGCAGCAACAACAACTCTCCCGCGAGATACTGCCTCACCTTTTATTCCGATGGGCCCTAACCAGGGGTAGCCAGGGAGGGCCCGAACCTCAGGAAAGGCGTTATCGCCTGAGATTCCCTCGCAGTGTAGCACCGCGAGGGGGTCATTCAGAGCAGTCTTGCCGCTTCTTGCGGATGCCCGAACCGCAGTTGTATTGAATATTCGTTCGCAATTTAGCACCACCATGGGGTTCTTGAGATCCAGGTTCCCCGCAGATGGCGGACTATTTTTTTTGTTCACTTGGGACTTTCTGCAATACAGCACCACAAGGGGGGTTCCTTCAGAGCATCATTGCTGCTACCCGCGGATGCCAGAACAGCCGTTTCGTGTGAGACGCTTTCGTAATTCAGCAGCACAGGGGAATCCGTCAGATCAATCGTGTCGCTAATTGCGGCGGCCCCACCCAGGACGTCCAGGGAACTGTGCTTTGGGAGCGTTTTACTACAGGAGGCCTTCTCTGTTTGGGGGAAATGTGTTCGGAGAGCGCTGTTCGGCCCCTCCGCTTCCAGGAAGCCCAGGGTTCCTTTCTCTAGATTGGCATATGATCGGGGAGCGCTATTCGCCCCCCCCCCCCCACCCCACCCGGACCATAGAGTCAGGCCCCAGGAGGTATTGTTCTGTGTTGGGATATGTGTTCGGGGAGTGCGCGCATGTGTTACATATATTCGTGCAGGTTGCCCATCGACTATGGCTCGAAGCCTGTGTGTTTTACGTCTGGTCCTGTAAACTGCTCTTCTCCTGAGGTTCGGATCGTTTGTGTTGCTTGTATGTTCCTAGAGATTGCTCCTTTCTTTGGACTAGAACCCTTAGTCGTTTACGTGTGTTCCCATGGATTGCCCCTCGACTGGGGCTCGAAGCTCTGGTGTTTTACGTATGTTCCTATAGACTGTTCCCCGGTTGGGACCCGAATCCTTGGTGTTTTTCGTATGGTCCTATCTGCTGTCCCTCTCCTGGGGCTCGACTCTGTCGTGTTTCAAATCTTCACTGCTCCCCATTGTCAATGCCACTTGTTAAACAGTTGTTCTTGCTTGACCCCATATACACGCTTTGACGCTCTCACCCCGCCGCTGGTTGCATTTCCTTTGAAATTGAGGGCTCACGCTCAAGCGTTTCAAGGGACCACCCAAACCAGCCCCCCAAGATCAACAACAAGAGCAACAACACTCCCGTGCGACACTGTCTCACAATTCACTCCGGGAGACCCTGACCAGAGAGGGCCCGAAACTCAGGAAGGTCCCTCGCGCATGAGATCTCCTCGCAATTTAGCACGGGTCCTTCACACTGATGTTCAGATCCTCTCGTTTGCGTTTCCTCCGTCGTCCCTCTTGTCGCTCATTCATCCCAGACCACACCACTAGCCGGCCACACCGTTTAGTCAGCCTTTGAAAAGGCCCCGAAATTGCAGAAACGTGAAATCACTCGATGTGGAGATCCTCGTATGTGCATATCATTATCCTGCCACGCTTCGCTGAGGAACTCTGTCTATGCGCATCTTGTTGTGAGAGCGCGCTCGCGTAGACGACAGGCGCGGCAATGACGACGACGACGGCGACGATTTCAGGGACGTCCTCCTCTTCCTCCTCCTCCTCCTCTCGACTTTTGTCAGGCGAGACGGGAACACATAATGAAAGAGCGATGGGGAGTTCCTGTTGCTGTCTTCATTGGCACTTCAGGCAAGCGTGCATGGCGTTGCTGCGCCCGCTCCCTGGCGTGCGTCTTACTCGCGGCGCCTGCTGGCATTTGGGGTGCCCGAGTGACATGGTGGTTATATCGTTGTAATCATGTGTGTGGGCCGTGTTGAGAGTGAATTTGAGCGCGGGTGATCTGAGCTCGAAGGAGTGGGAGTGTGAGTGGACCCGTGTATGATCGTGCCTGAGTGCGAGTGAGTATGGATGAAGTCAGTGTGAGTACCATTGGGTGTGAGTTCGAGTGGGTACGATTGCGGGCGAGTCTAAGTGCGAGTGGGTCTGAGTGTGAGCGTGCCTGACTGGGTAGGTCTGGATTTGAGCGTTGCGAGCACAAATCTGAGTATGAGTGAGCCTGGGTGCGAGGCAGTTTGCGCCTGTATGAGTCTGAGGGCTGGTGAGTCTGAACGTGAGCGAATATGAGTGTGAGTTGGTGGGTGAGTCTGGTTTTGGGCGGGTCGAAGTATGATTGGGTAAGTACGTGCGAGTTTAAGTATGATCGAATATGAGTATGTGCGAATATGAAAGCAATACGTGCGTTTCGCTTAGGAAGTAGTGCGAACGAGTGATTCTGCGCGCGAGTGAGTCGTCCGAGTGGGGAGACGGAGAAGAACGTGAGTGAGTGAACGGGGTGGCCTCAAAACACACTGCTTGAGATACCCCCACAGTTTGAGCGCGAATCTTGAAGTGTCCTCACCCATGGCGGCTCCGCCTTGGGGTACCCAAGTGCCACGTAGGCAATGTCAGTTTGAGCATTGGACAACATGTGAAACACGTCCTCATCTTTTTGGGGCAGAAACAGGCAAACATTCTGACACATCCCCCGAACTTTGTCGCGAACTGTGGGGTGGGTGCCTTCCACCCCTGGCGGCTCCCCTTTGGGGTGCCCAAGTGCCACGCCTCCTTTTTTATCGTGGTGAGCATCGAGCCACAGGAGGAAATACATCTGGGAGCGGTTCCGCTTTTGGGGTGCTCATGTGCTACGATTGCCACTCGTGGTGAACATTGAACCCCTCTTGGGGCCCTTTTGGGGGCCTCTTGGGCCGTCTTGCAGGCTTCTTGGGCCGTCTTTGGGCACTATTTGGCCCGTTTCGGGGCCCTCTTGGGGGCCTTTTGGGGCGATCATTGGAGCCTCTTGGGCAGTTTTGGAACGCCGGGAGGCTGAAAAGGCGAGAATACCCAAATCCTCGAAACATGTTGCCTCTTGTGGCTCTCGTGGGAATGCTTTTCGAGGCCTCTTGGGGCGTCTTCCAGCCCTTTTGGGCCGTCTGGAGGCCGTACAAATGTCTTGGACCGATCGTTCGGCGATTCGGGGTCCTCTTGGAATGTTTTTCTGGCCTCTTGGGGCACTCTTGCCTTGCATTGGGACGTTCATGGGGCGCCAGGGCCCCCGCCGAAGCAGGAATGCTATTCTGACCCGGGACCCCCCGCGACCCCCCTTGGACCCCTCCCTGGCGTGGAAGGGATCAAATGGAATGGGTTTCATGACGGCGCGCTTGAGGAGGAGGGCCCAGGAAAAGGAAGAGCGGCGACGGGCCCAGGGAAAGAGAGGGAGCGGCGACGGCGACGGCGACGACGACTACGCCGACGAAGACGAGTCAAACAGAACAGCCTCTGCCACACGCCGACAGGGTCGGCGGATTGCATGAGCAGCCGACGAAGTAAATCTGTATTTTAACACAGCGGTGCAGCTCTGGGGTGCTGGTGCCTGGACACCGGCGGGCGCGCTCGCCCCGCCCGATGCACCTGGCGCGACGCGGGCGCACGCTTGGCAGGTGGTCGGGTCGATCTCCAACAGGCGCCACCCGTCCCCCGACTTGGCAGCCGAGGAGGGGGAGGAGGAAGGAAGAGGGGGTTGTGGATGAAGAGGGAGGAGGAGGAGGAGGAGGAGGAGGAGGAGGAGGAGGAGGACCAGTGCTAACCCAATGCGCATCAACGATGTTGACATGAATCCTCCCTCCAAGTTCCCTCATCGCAGGTCCCTACAATATTTGCTCCATTGCAGGAAGTGTCCCCATTGAAATACAACCTTACGAAGAGTTCGAAATATAACGAGTTTCACTCCCCCCAGCTCTACAAAGGGGAATTGTTTCGCAAGAGCAAGAAACAACAATACCCCCTTTACAACATACATGTTGGCCACATTCAGGTACCACTCAATGCTTGTCACTGCTTGAAATCGTAGGCCGTGCCAAAGCACCGTCCCTGGGATCCCAACGCCGCGAATAAATTTGATTGTTGCGTCGTGGCAATCTGGACTCGTGCCAGAGCACATGTCTCGGGACACCGACACCGCGAATACACTTGACTGTTGCGTCGTGACAGTCAATCGTGCCAGGATACCGGTCTTGGGACTTGAGCCGTACGAACCCGTGATGTTGTTGCAAATATGTTGGACGAATGTGCGCGGCGTTCAGGTGAGAGCCTCATTTTGAAAAGGAGTTGGCCTCCCTCCTTGAAACGGTTGCGAGTTTGAGAGACGAACGTGCGCGCCGCCCCCCACCCATCCTGGACATTGCTGCAGACTTGTACGACGAATGTGCGGAGCGCTATGGCGAGAGCTCCGTTTTGAAAGCGGCCCATTCTTGAAACTGTTGCGAGTTTCGAGCTGTCGGATCACACATGGCGAAGAAGTCTCAGGCGAAACGCCCAGCCCAGCGACACGCTTGAGGGCGCGACAGGGAGGAGTTATTTAGAAGGAAAATGGATGGGGGGGGAGAAAGGGGGAAAAGGAGGAGGAGGGCGGGGGGGGGAGAAAGGACGAGGACGGGGAGGAGGGGGAGGAGTGGGAGAAGGGGGAGGAGGGGGAGGTCCCGTGACCAAGCGCCTCTCAGCAGAGGAAAGCAGAAATTGCACGGATGTCGGGAATACACGACAGCCGCGATCAGTTCCAGCACAGCACGGCGCTATGTGCAACATTGGCAACCAGAGGAGGCTGTGTGGCATGCACTTACACACATTCTAAGGAAGGGCTTGTGAGAGGGTGACGGGCACGCATGGTTCGACATATCTGAGCCTCTTCATTAGCACGCGCCCTGGGGGTCGCAGAATGCCCCTTGCAATCTCCGCCGAGCTTGAGATGCCTGCCTCCAGCCACGCTGTCCGCACCACAAGCTGAACAAAGGACGACTGAACTAACGGCCTCGTGGCCGACACCTCGATGAGCTTCGGCCTCCAAATCACGCTTCTCCTGCCTGCCTTTCCCACCCCCCCCTCCCCGTTGTCGGCGGCCTCCGCCGACGGGTCGGGCGCGCTTGCGCCGTCTTCGCCGACACGGCCGTCCCGGCGGGCAGGCCCGTGCAGAGCGACCTGCACGGCCTCAAGGGGGGGAGAATGGCCTCGGGAGTGCAGCGGAAGGAGCGGCCAGCCAGCCTCTGCCTCTGCCCAAGGCCTGGCTTGTCACAACGATTGGATCTGAGCGCACGGATCGTACCAGTTGCCCTACCAAACCTCTTTGCACCGCCTTCACTTGAGTTCGGGCAGCTTCTCTCAAAGCAACAAGCACGTGCTCAGTGAGCTCAATGGGCGGCATTGCTTTGGGGCCTTCCGCACTTGCAGGTCTCATTGCTGGGACAGACCCACTTCCCCAGACAACCTAGCAACAGATGTTTGGGGGGGGGGCGTTTTCTAAATGACGATCTTCTGTGTTGGAAGCGTGCCAACCACTGGCAGTGCGGGGTTGCAGTCGGCTTCGTAACAGGCGAGGCTGGCATTCTGCGCGGGTTCGGCGCCCTGTTCAATGCGTGCGAGCTGGTTTTTGGGACAGCCATGTGGAGAGAGCACCATGCGTTGTCATTGGTTCCAGTCGGGCACGTTCCCTGTGCACTGGTGTATTTGAAATGCGATGGCTGTTTGTTCCAGCCGCACGTTCCTTGTTGAGGTCCTCTGGGTAGGGCTCGGTGGTGAGACAGGAGACAACAAACAAAGTGCCATGCTCCTTTGCTCCTCCTGCCCCTCTCGCTTCCCCGATCCGCTACCTGCTCCTTCTGCTTCTCGCTCCTGTCCCTGCTCCTCCTCATGTCCCTGCTGCTCCTACTGCTCTCGCCCTCCGCCGCGTAACCATCTAAACAGATTGCGGTGTCCGTCGGTGTGTCTTCCTACGTCGAGGCCCGCTGGATCATCCGCCTGCCCCATCCTATGATTGAAGCCCGGTGCCCCGCCCGCCTGCCCCCCCTAAAAAAGACAAGCAGCGACTTGTTTCATGCCAAGATAAGCTAGACTTGTTTATAAAGGCGATATCGAAGCAGCTTCAGCAAACTATAAAGCAGTTGGCATGCGAGGCCGCGCGCATCGTTATAATCACAAGACAACCCGCATACAAAGCAACATGTACAAAGTGCGGGTCCGCTCCGACTTGGGACCCACCCGGGCCCCGCAGGAGGAAAAGGAGGAGGAGGAGGAGGACGAGGAGGAGAGGAGGAGGCGGAAAAGGCGTGGGAGCACGAGGAGGGATAAGGGCGGAGGGAGGAGGAGGAGGCCGAGAAGGACATAATCTCATTGCTCCCTCCATCCCTGCTCCGTCACCCCCCTCTCTCCTCCCTGCTCCTCGTCCTCGAGGACTGGTTCGGCTCCCGCCGAGTTCTGACTTTTGGACTGGCCCTGATCGCCCTGGCGAATCCTCCAGTCGAGGGGCATCGGGCGGTTCCCTTTTTGCAACATCGTTGCCCTGCTTGTATTTCACATGCATTCATCACCCTCCCCAGGGGGGTCCTCCTTGAAGGGGGAGAGGGCCCTCTTCCGTGGCGCCTGGAGCGCGCCAGAGGTGCCGCCAGGGGCGGGCCCCCCAGGTGGGGGGTCCAGCGCCGATCCAAGAAATCCGCGCGGGTCTCAGAACGCTGATGCGTATGCAGTGCGTCCTTCTTCTGCCCGCCCTTTCCCAATGCGGGGGATCCTCCCTGGAGGAGGGAGGGCTCCCCTCTCCCGGGACTCTCGCCCTCCCCCGAGGTACCGCGTCATCTCCGCCAGGAACACCCACGCGCCGTCTCCAGGGGAGCCCCGCGGCTCCGAACGGGCCCGGGCCCAAGACGCCACGGCATCCCCGTCGTATTCTTCTATCTTCCTCTCGGCTTTCCCATCCTCCTCCCGTTCCCTTCGCCCTCCTTCCTTGCATCCTCCCCCCTACCTCTCCTCTCCGTCCTGGCCGTGCCAGCCCAAGGGGGCGGCCATGTCCGTATCCCGGCTCCTCCTCCTCCCCCTCCTCTTCCTCCTCCTCCTCCCTCCTCTCTCTCCTCATATCTCCTCTTCCTCTCTCCTCCTCCTTGCTCCCTCGCCGCGCCGCCGCAGAGTCGATCGACCCTCGTTGTCATCCCTAGTCGCCATCGTCGTCGTCATTGTTACCGTCGTCGTCGTCTCCGTTCATCTTCGTCGTCGACGTCCCTCGAAATTCGAAAATCGAAGTTCGGGGACGTGTTGGTTCTTTCAGCCGGGGCCTCTGGAGGTTTCCTGAGGCGCTTTCAGGGGCCCCCAGGGACCTTCCGCAGGAACTTGGAGACTGTCATTCTCCATCCCCCGCCCCCTCCACGTTCCCCCCCCCCCGCGTCTCACCTTGCCGCTGCGGCTCGTCATCCTCATCGTCATCTTCAGCAGCTGCATCACCACCACCACCATCATCATCAACACCAGCATCATGATCATCGTCATCATGACCATCATATCATCATGATGAGCATGATGTTCATCATCAGCATTATCATCACCATCACTCATCATCATCATCATCATCAACATCATCATCAGGTTCATCATCAGGTTCATCATTATCATCATCATCATCATCATCATCATCATCATCGTCATCGCCATCATCATCAGCAGCATAATCAACAACATCAGCATCAACAACATCAGCAGCATAATAATCAGCAGCATCATCAATATAGACATCAGTATCAGAAGCCTCGTCGTCGTCATCATCGTCGTCGTCGTCATCATCATAATCGTAATCATCACCATAATCGTAATCATTGCCATCGTCAGCATCATCATCATCATCGTCATCATTGTCATTGTCATCGTCATCCTCCTCGTCCTCCGCATCCTCGTCATCCTTATCCCCATCGTTCGTCCTCATACGAATCATTCCTCGTCGTCGTCTTCGTCGCCATCGTCATCAACATGATCATCAACGCCACCATTACCATCAACACCATCAGCACCATCATGGGTATCATCACCATCATGATTATCGTCATCGTCATGATCAGCATCGTCATCGTCGTCATCATCATCATCATCATCATCATCATCATCATCATCATCATCATTCTCACCATCATCGTCACCACCATCATCCTCGCCATCAGCATTATCAACATCATGATCAGCAGCAGCACCACCATCATCAGGGCAAGTTTCTGGCGCTGCCCTGGACCCTGACCCCCTGATGTCCCCAGCGGCCTCTGGGGGCACATGGAGCCTCGAGATGGGCCAAGACGCATCTAACATCCTCGGCCCTCGACCGCCGCGGGCGAAACTCGGCATCCTCCCCCCCCAAGGCGCGGAGGTAGAAGAACAACAAGAAAGCATGAGCGTAAGATTTCGGAGGTCAGCGCGGATTCCTTGGATCGGCGCCGCCCCTGGCGCGCTCCAGAAGATTCTGGCTAAGTATGTTGATGGTGCATTCTTCTGGGATGCAGGCCTCCCAGACCGCCGCGAGCGAGGGCCACACGATGACATCAGATTGCAACGCCGATGCATCGCCAATGCATCGGCGACGCGGCGCGATCCTCCGGCCCCATCTGCTCGGACACTACTTGGGGAGACCTCCACAGGAGCCAGGCCGCCCCGTAGGGTCGCGAAGACTGCTGCGCTGCGCGCGCCGCGGTCCAGGCCGGAGCGGCTGCCTCTCTCCCAGGGGTGTGGCGCGAGGATCATCGCGGGAAGCCTGCTGCGCGACGTTTGGTGACCCAGAGGTCACCGCCCACCAAACCACCCCAACCCAACCCGAAGGCCCCGATTTGTCCTCCATTTCCGGTGGGGAGGTGTCGGGGAACATTGAAAAAACAGATATGAACTCGTACCCACTCCAACCCGAAATTCGGTCGAAATTTGGGTCTTCGGGTTGGGTTGGGGGTGGTCTGGTAGGTAGTCAAGAGGAGGGGCGTGCGCGGAGAGCAGCGCTCCCTGCGGCTCCGGAGGTGCTCGCGAGAGGCCGCCTCCGCCCCCGCCCCCCTGAGCGGAGCGGGCGCCCTGGCCCAAGCGATTGACGCATCGCGTGCACGTCGGCCGTTGCAAGGTAGGCATGTCTGGATCCCCAGATCCCAATCTTTCTGGGCCGGCGTCCTACTTCGAGAGTCGAGCGGTCCTCCTTCCTCTCCACTCTGCAGGGGGCGGGCGGAAGCCGAATCCACTTCCAACGCCTTCCTACTTCATTATTCTACCCTCTTCCGACCGACGTGTAAGTATACCCACTGGCCCTTGCAGAAACGATGGCCAAACGGGCTGCCGGGAGAACGGAGGCCTACCGTGCTGCGGGGCTAGGTTCAGGATGCAGCATTACAGAGCGTTCCAGAGCGCTCTGGAACGGCCGCGGCGCCCGATACGTCGTCCAGGACGGCCAGATCTCGGAGATTCCCGATTCGGCCCGGTCCGATGTTCATTTGGTCTTGGTTTCGTCTTAGCCGACAAGCAGAATGACAGCGAAACAGGCAGGTCAGCAATGGTGAACTCAGAGACCTCTGGGGTAAGAAGTGGGCCGGAAGTGGGAACTCCCTGGACCGCCTACGTCCAGAGGACTGGCGGGACACTGCTTAAAGAGGAGGAGCACAAGGTTTCAGTTGATGGTCGAACGTTTCGATGCGTTGTTGCCCCTCCTCTGGATCTGTGGGCCTCTGGAGGCCCCCAGAGTTGTCTGGAGGCCTCCGGAGACACTCGGAGACTTCCAGAGCCATCACGGAGAGGTCTCGAGGTCGTCGGGAGATGCCGATTCCCGGTCAAAGTCTTTGTCGTTATATTTGGGCGTCGCGTCGTGCGGGGGGCGATAAACGTGGGGGCAGCGAGGTGTGCAGAAAGGCGGCCCTTCAGGGCCATTACAGGGGCCCTTGTGGCCCCAAAGGGGGCCTGTAGAGCCCGACAAGGGCAACCTTCTCCCCCCCAGCTCATTGATCGCCCCAATTCGCGCCCAACATCCTCGTCCTCTCTTCTCAGGCATTCTGGCCCGCGTTGCGAGGATAGTGCGGCTGGGGCACGCATGCGGCGCACAGATTTTGTTGCCAACGTCAGTTGCCACGAAGCCCAGCCCAGTCCACCGCGCACAGGCGAGCCAAACAGAAGCACTGTGCGGTACCAGTTGTTGGTCTTGATGCAAGCATGCAGCGCAGGCGGAAGCGACGATACTATGCGACTCGCGGCGTCACGGCAGCGCCCTCGGCTTGGTGGGGGGTGTATTAGGTCACGCGCAGTCTTATATCTGTGTGTTCACGCCTTGTGCCCCAGACATGGTGAGGATCAGCAGCAGGCTGGGGGGGCAGCAGCAGTATTGGTAGCGCACGCGGCGGAAAACATGTAAGCACATTCTGCATAGTTGTGGGCGGCGTTGTCCGTCGCTAATTTGAGACTCCGTAGTGAGGCAGTGAGTAAGCCTGCATAAGGTAACCCCTAACGGTGCGGTGCCGAGGTCGTGACACTCCATGTGGCCTACGAGCCGTCGCTGACATTCGGCAACACTTCTCACGCTTGTTATGTGTCGCATACGTTGTTCACGCGTTTGAAGCACAATTCTACGTATATGTGTGGTTGCCATTGGTTCAGCCAGGACACCTGTCACCTCGGCGCTCACCTGCGCAGGTCGTATTAACTCATAGGCGGTAGTGTAGGCTGCAGAGGAAAGATGCACACGGAGCTTGTCAAAAACATGTTGAGTGCGATGTTGGATTGTTCAGACAGGTTGGCCCAACCTTTCACAGTCACATTGGAAGTGCGTTGTGAGACTTGGTCATATTCAAGTAGGCGGCTTGTCATCCATTGAGCCCATGATCTAAGCATTCCTCGTTCGCCTCTTCGTCATCCTCTGTTCCTCTCGGTGCTCCACCACACCGTCATCTTACGTGCATGCCTCCTGGATTGGATTCTTCGTAGTCCTCAATATTTCCCATGAGGCGACGTCTTCGGTGTTGGCCACCTGTCCGTGGACGGGCTGGAAGGAACACCTTCGCTTCAGGCCAGGGATGAGAACGCGAAGGCTTGGATCCGATATCGCGAGAGGCTCGGCGGCAAGTCTCCGCCATCCCCTGCGACGCCGCCTGACAAGCAGCATATTGTCTTCCGAGACAGACGCCCTGTCCATATGGAGGGCTCCTTCGAAAGGACCTCGCCGTCGATGAATCGAGAAGTTGAGGAAGCAGGCGGAAGGCCTGCGGAAGGCCTGCGGAAATGTGCTAGCGCAAAACGGTGGCAGGTCCGGCGGCAGAAGCCAGAGAAAGGTTGGCGGACGCGGAACATGCACCCCAAAGAGATGCTCTCTGTTCTGCGTAAAGCGTTCCCGAAACGGGTCACACGCATGGCCACTCCCAGGGGGCAGGTAGGGGAAGGTCAGGCAGGCCTAGGATGAAGGCAAGAGTTTTAGAACGCTTCCAGAGCGTTCCAGGACACTCTGGAACGGCCGCGGCGCCCAGTACATCCCTCGGACCCGCCAACTCTCAAATATTCCCGATTTCATCCCCATCCGAACGTGTCCTCATCGTGCGGTCGTCTTCGAAGAAGGGGGGTCAGGTCCTTGTTTGCTGCCCCAATTGGTAGGCGCGCGCCGTGTTCGCAGTCCAGCTGGCAAGTGCTGCCTCTCTTTCGTCTCACATCTTCGTGCTATTTTGTTTTGTTCGTACGCGTCGTGATGAATATCAAATCCACCGGCGTGCAGGAAGGGGTCCTGGAGGTCCTTGTCGTTGGTTTCGCTATGTCGGGGCCTTTCCTGGTCTTCAAGGCTGCCGACAACTACTCAGGATGAAATGCTGGGTCTTGAGGGAAGCCCTGGGGTCCGACCAGTTTCCACGAGGACCCCGTCCCTCATGCCAAATCGGAGAATCATCGTGGTTTGCTGCCTGCCTTGCTATCTGTGGCTAGCTTTGCTGCGGTTAGCCTCCCACGGGAAACGCACGATCGATATTAAGTTGCCCCCGCCTTCCGCAAAGGCACTGCAATCTCGCCCCCCCCCCCCCGCTCACGAAGTTTCGATTATTGCCCCCCTGCCTCGATTCGCCTCCTGGGTCATGGTGTTCTTCTCGTGGCGAGGGCCCCCTGGAGCTCTCGAGCCCATCTCCAGGACAAGCTCTTCATCGCGGGTGTCTTGTTGCGGGCCCCGACTGCAGCTCGGCGCCGCAGTGATGGCGAGAGAAAACGCTCAAGGCGTTCCGCTTCGCGACGCCCAGAGGTCTGGGACGTCGAAGGGCGGCACAGCAGCAAAGAACGAGGTCGAGGAGAGGGGGGCAGCTCCCTGGAGTCCTGAGGTCGGGGACGTCGAAGGGCGGCACAGCAGCAAGGAGCGAGGTCGAGGAGGGGGGGGCAGCTCCCCGCAGTCGCCCCGAGCCCGCCAGAGCCTTCCCTGAGAGTCTCCTCGGTCGTCTCCTGCTCCTCCTCATCGACATGCACGGTCACGGGCGCACCCCAGGCGCTGCCTGCGCCTCCAACCGCTCCCCAGTGCTCCCAGGCGCTTCCCAGGCGCCTTCCAGGCGCTCCCAGGCGCTCCCCTGCGCTTCCCAGGCGCTGCCGGGCCGGGCGCTTCCCGGGCGCTCCTAGGCGCCCTCAGGCGTTTCCCAGGCGCTCCCCTATGCGCTTCCCAGGCGTTCCCAAGCGCTCCCGGGCGCCTCCCAGGCGCTTCCCAGGCGCTTCCCAGGCGCTCCCGAGCGCTCCCAGGGGGGGGCACGCGGGCACCTCTGCGCTGGGGGAGCCGGCCGAGTGGGCCATGGCGTTGCTGCCCTTGCTGAAGGCCGCGGGCTCAGCGCGCTTCTTCAGAATTGAGCGACGCGCACGAGTCGAACCATCCAGAGCAAAATAAACATTAGCTCCCGGAGATCCGCGTGGATTTCCTGGATCGGCGTTGCACCCCCTTGCGGCGCCTGCGGCGCCACCCCTGGCGCGCTCAGGGAGAGGGTCAGAGCCGATCCAAGAAGTCCGCTTGGACCTCCGAACGTTCATGTTCTTGCAGTTGTTCGAAAAATAGCACGGGTTGGCGCGGGCGGCGGGTAGCCGTCTTCTAAGAAGGGGGGGAGCTAAGAAAGCAAGTTGTGTCTTCGGGGCCCTCCTGGCTTCTGAGAGGCCCCCTCAGAAGCGTCTGGCCCCCCCTGCCTTCTGAGGAAGCCGCCCGCCTGCTTGGAAACCTGCGACCCTCGCGCCACCCCTTTGTGCGCGCCGCCAGCATAGGTGCCAGGAGGAGGATCGGCAGGAGCTCATCCTCCAGAATATGTTTCTCCTCTTCCACCAGCTCCTCCTCCTCCTCCTCCTCCTGCTCCTCCTGCTCCTCCTCCTCCTCCTCTTCCTCCTCCTCCTCCTCCTCCTCCTCCTCCCCCCTCCTTCTCAGAGCACTGTTTCCCTGTTGTTGTTTTCCCTGCTTCCTCCTTCTCCCCCAGGAGCTCCCCTTCCAGGAGGGTCGAGGAGCTCAGCTCCTCCTCCTCCTCCTCCTCCTCCTCTTCCTCCAAGAACTAATCCTCCTCCTCCTCCTCCTCCTCCTATCTCCTCTTCCTCCTCCAGGAGATCCTCATCCTCCTCCTTCCATCTTCTTCCTGCATCTTCCTCGCCCTCCTCGTTCCCATTTCCAATCCTCATCCCTCCTCTGTGCTGTTGCTAGTGACATATCAAGCCTCGAATTCATGGGCCACTTGTTTTGTTCTCGCCGAAGGGCCAGAGGCTGGCCGAAGACTGAAGACGACCCCAGAGGAAGCCAAACTTACGCTACCGAGGAGCCCTGCATACTTATAGTATGTCTGGCGTGATGATAGCTGACGTGCAACGGGCGAGAATGATGCAGACGATGGGTTCAGCAAGTACCTAGCCAAGCACTGCCTCCTGACATCGTCGGCGCCTCGTTTACGCGACAACTCACTGTACCTGGTGAGGAGCGTGTCAGGCCACCAGTTTGCCAGCTGTCGGTGGTAAGCATCAAATGCGCCGCGCACCAAGGCGTTCCCATGCCGCACAGCATAGCCGCGCAAACCATCCAGGTCCACCTCGGCGCCCATCTCTGGCATTGATCTCTTGAGCTGCTCGCACGGCGATGGCAAAGCGGGCATTGCGCATTTGGGCGCCATGATGGGGACCGTATTTCTGACGGAGAGTCACTGGTGGTCGTCCGCGTTCAAATATCGAACAGTCAGCCCGCATGAGCCAGGGTGGCTGCAGTTCTTGATGATGATGTTGGTGATAACGACGATGATGATGATGACGATGATGATGATGATGATGTTGACGATGCTGATGATGAAGATGAAGGTAATAATGATGAGGATGATGATGCTGATGATGATGATGATGCTGATGCTGATGCTGCTGATTATGATGATGATGATGATGATGATGATGATGATGATCGCCCCCCCCGCCTGCGTGCCCCTATGGCCTCGAGAAAGGGCCACGTGAGCGAGGCCCTGAGAGACCGACCGCCCTTTGCGCACCCCCTACGGTGTCGAGAAAGTGTCACGCCTGCTATACCCTGGACGACTGTCGCGCATAGCGGCCGCGGTGAGAGACCACCCCCTGCGCACCCCTGATGATGTCGAGGAAAGGGCCACGCCTGCTGTGCCTGGGCGACAGTCGAGAATTGCGGCCGCGGTGAGAGACGACCCCCTGCGCACCCCCTGCGTTGTGGGGAACATTGCCACGCCTGCTATGCCCGGACGGCCGTCGCGCATTGCGGCCGCGGTGAGAGACCCCCCCCTGCACACCCTCTTATGGTGTCGAGGAAATGCCACGCCTGCTGTGCCTGGGCGACCGTCGCGCACAGCGGCCGCGGTGAAAGACCACCCTCTGCGCACCACCTGCGTTGTCGAAAAAATGCCACGCCTGCTATACCCTGAACGACAGTCGCGCATTGCGGCCGCGGTGATAGACAACCCCCTGCGCACCCCCTGTTGTGCCGAGAGAATGCCACGCCTGATGTGCCTGGACGACCGTCGCGCACAGCGGCCGCTGTGAGAGACCACCCCCTGCGCATCCCCTGTGGTGTCTAGAAAATGTAACGCGTGTTGTGCCCGCACGCCGTCGCGCATAGCGGCCGCGGTGAGAGACCCCCCCCTGCGAACCCCTCTGTGGTGTGGAGAAATCGCAACGCCTGATGTGCCTGGACGACCGTCGCGCATAGCGGCCGCGGTGAGAGACCGCCCCCTGCGCACGCCCTATGGTGGCAAGAGAATGCCACGCCCTGCGAGCCGGTATCGCATAGCGCCCCGACCCCCGGCAGCACCCCCTGTGGCGTCGAGGAAATGCCACGCCTGCCACGCCCTGCGAGCCTGCAGCACATAGCGCCCCCAACCCCAGCGCCCCCCCTGTGGCGTCGAGAAAATGCCACGCCCTGCGAGCCTGCAGCGCATAGCGCCTTCACCCCCAGCGCCCCCCCATGTGGCGTCGAGGAAATGCCACGCCTGCCACGCCCTGCGAGCCTGCAACGCATAGCGCCTTCACCCCCAGCGCCCCCCCATGTGGCGTCGAGGAAATGCAACGCCTGCCACGCCCTGCGAGGCTGCAGCGCATAGCGCCCCCACCCCCAATGCACCCCATCTGGTGTCGAGAGAATGCAACGCCTGCCACGCTCCCAGGCCCTGGCGCGCGTAGAGGCCGCACTGAGAGACCACCCCCTGCGCACCCCCTCTTGTGTCGAGCCAGTGCCGCGCCTGCCACGCTTCGCGAGCCCGAAACGGATATGGAGACCACCCCTATTGCACCTGTGGTGCTCATGTGTTGTATGGTGTGCGTGTCATGTATATGATGCGTGTGCGGTTGTATGTGGACGTGTGTCTCATTTGGGTGCCCAGCATTTGTCATGTGCATGATGCGTGTGTGGCTGTATCTGAACGTGTGTCGCATGTGGGTGCATAGTATGTGGCGCATACGTCGTGGGTGTAGGATGCAGTGAACACGCCATGCGTGCATTGGCGTTGTTGGAGTGTGTGTATGTGTGTGTTTATGTGTTGTGTGTGCGAGTGTGTGTATGTGTATGCGTGCGGCTGTATGTAGACGCGTGTCTCATGCACGTGCCGTGCATGTGTTACGTCGTGGGTGTATGATGCAGTGAACACGCCATGCGTGCATTGGCGTTGTTGGAGTGTGCGTGTGTGCGTATGCGTGCGTGTGTGTGTGTGTGTGTTTGTGTGTTTGTGTGTGGTGTGTGTGTGCGTGTGTGTGAGTGTGTGCATGCGTGCGGCTGTATCTAGACGCGTGTCGTATGCACGTGCCGTGCATGTGATGCGCGCGGGTGGGGAGAAGAAGAGGAGGAGGGGAAGAGAGGGGTGGGAGAAGACGCGGTTGCGACGCGGGTGAGAAGAAAACCATAACCCCACGAAATACGTTGGGAACATGCCCGAAGAGAACCCGAGGGGCAAGCCACCGCATCTCGAAACGTTTCCTCCGCACCGCGAAAGGGTCCAACCAGGCCCGGGAGCAGTCTAGTTCAGGTGCTTTTTAGCCCGTCTGGGAGGGGCAGTCTTGGACTCGTCGTGGAGCTTCGGTGGCCCACCCGGGACCTGAAAGGGGAGATCACCGTGAGATTGGTGCGTGGGGGCCAATAGTATTGCAGACAGTACAACGGCACACAAAAAGTTGATCATCCCACACCTGGAAGCAGCGGTCGGACGACCAATCAAATTCGACGGACATGTACAAGCCTCATCAAAGCTATCCGGGGAAGCAATTTTATCTCACGGGGCTTTCTCTTTTCTGGCGCTTGCCACAGTGCGCGTTCTTTGAAGCGGAGGGGGGGCGGAGGATGTCAGACGCCCCCACGTGCAGGGCAAAGATTTGGCGGCGGCGCTGGAGCAGCGCTATCCTTGTGAGCACCACTATCAAAAGCCTTCTGCTCATGTCTGACGAGGTCTGTACAGTGAAGACGCTGAGCAGAAGAACAGCTCGGGTTCGGAAGGGGGGCGCTGCTCCTTACAAGACTCGTAGCAGGTATCGCGACGCCGCTGGTTGGCTTCGGGTAGACGATCATGCATCGTTGAGCGGCCCTTTCAATTTGAGAGGCGCAGTGGGCGTTCTTTGTCGAGCCGCCTCTTGACAGTTGACGGGCGCACTGGGCTCTTGGCTGACAGGCCCCCCGCTCGCGCACCTCAATACGCTGGCTTCAACTTTGGAGGGCGGGGGCAAGTTCCGCGCTGCGCGGCTTCACCATGTCCTTGCTAAATGCTGTTAAGTATGACTGCACTTGTAGGTATCCAAGGTTGTTTCTCATGCGCTCCTCATGCACCAAGACACGTTTGGGGCTAGAATGGCTCGGCTCATCTTGAGAAAACACCCTGTGCGTGTTTGTTGAACTTTTTCCCTACCTAGGCTCTGCCTAGAAGGGTTCTTACTCGCTTGGCTTACAGGGGCCGGGCAGTGCAAACCGGCCCGGGCGGTTCCCCCAGCCCCCTGGGAGCCAAGCAAAAGCAACAGCAAAGGTAAAAGCAAACGCGCGGTTCCCCCAGTTGCGCTCCCTGGATGCCAAGCAAAAGCACAAGCAAAGGCAACATTTAAGGCAAAAGCGAAGGCAAAGCAAACACATAGCATAGCATAGCATAGCATCGCATAGCATCGCATAGCGCAGCATAGCATAGCATAGCGCAGCATAGCCTAGCCTAGCCTAGCCTAGCCTGCCCAGCATAGCATTGCGCAGCATAGCATAGCATAGCATAGCATAGCATAGCATAGCACAGCGCAGCACAGCACAGCACAGCACAGCACAGCACCGCTCCTACTAATGGTGCTTTCCTAGAGGCTCCAACTCCTAGGTCGGGTCGCACTGGGATAATTGTTGTACGTTGGGTCCTTGACAGGCTGATCGAGTTTTAGTTTGTTTAGATTCGTTGTTGTAGCGTTTTCTGCTTCGTGGTAACATCCATGATGGGGCTGGTGGCTGAGACTGGTTTCTGTGCCTGCAAACTGAAGGAAGAAATGGACAACTAAACAACGCTCTGACGCCTGTCTGACACGCTTGCGAAAAAGGCCTAGAAGCCCACGGCCTGTCCGCGGCGGGCTCCGACGATGGAAACGAACATACCTAAAGCATGCTAAACAACGTGTATGTGTTTTAGTGTATTGGGTGTTTTCTTGCGGAGGGATGAAAACGCAAAACCGATGTGTTCCAAGTTACCGAGTTGAAAACGCCCAACGCCCAGGTCGTATTAAACGTGAGCCTAGCAACAAAGAGGACTTCGTTCCCGACTTTTCGTTCCTTATGGTATCAGCTTGACTGCTGGGACAGCGGTTGAGGCAGGAACCTCATGGAACGACGGCCGGCGCGGGTAGCCTTCGGCTCCCAGCGGCAGCGGGCGGGGAGCGATGCAGAGCAATTGAGTGCTAAGGTCGGCCAGGACGCCCGCATCGCTTTCCATGCCGTATCCTCCCTGGTGGATTGAATCATGGCAGGAGGCTGGCCCTGGACGTGCCGTCTAGTAGTTCTTGAATTGCCCCCTATGTGGCAGCACGTGCCGCTGATCGGTTGAGCTCTGGCGCAGAAGAGGAGGAATAATAAGAGGAAGAGAAGCCCCACAATGTGGTTTGCGCCGCTCGCGAAGGACAGAGGCCCTTTCGTTCCTGGGCGCGCAGGGGGGGGAGAGCGAGCTTGGATCTCCTGTCCAAACGGGCGCTGGCCGAAGTGCCGTCTGGTTTAGATCAAGCCGGAGATGCCATGGCTGGCTTTTCTTCGTGAATTTGCCGAGATGTGTCCGGAGCTGGGGCCCCCGAGGGGGCCCAGACCCTCGTCGTTCCTTGCCCTAGTCTTTGCGAGCCGCGCCGACGTCGAGAGTTCATGCCCGTGCGCACAATCTTTCTGTTGCCGCCCGGCCGTCTCCCTCTCGCAGGAGAGAGCACACTGCACAAACAGAAGTTTTCGGATGTCCGCTCGGATTTCTTGGGTCGGCGCTGGATCCCCCGGCGCGCGCCTCTGGCACCGCCCCTGGCGCGCGCCTCTGGCGCCGCCCCTGGCGCCGCCCCTGGCGCGTGCCAGGGAGGCGCGGAGGTCCAGCGCGCAGCGCCTACACAAGGAATCCACACGGACCTTTAAAATCTTATGTTCATGACGATTGCTCTTCGGGTGCGGACGAGGGCCTGCGATCCCCGCGACAGCGAGCGTGCCACCTCCCAGACGCGCCCGGGTCGCAGACTTGCACGATGACAGGCCTTACGCGGTGGGCTACGGTCGAGGTCGGAGATCGAGCATTTGCACAGCACATTTCGATCCGATCGATCCGTTTCGGTATCGTTTCTGGCCAGCCCGATCCGAGTCGGTTCCGATCTTCCGACGATCCGATGCGACCCGATGTTTCTATGGCGTTCTTATGTATCCCGGCGCGGCCGATCCGATTCGATTTCGATCCCGCGCCGATGACCCCCGATCCGACGCACGTTCCGATCCGACCTGATTCCCCGATCCGATACTGAACGATCCTCTTTTTTGTTGCTCCCAGAGGCCTCTGGGGGCCGGGGATCGGAACTCGAGGTCCGAGGCTCGAGTATACCAGGACGTGCTGGATGCCTCTGTTGCCCCTCTAGCCAGATGGACAGTGTGAACTAGATCCAGATGAATCGAGGTAAATCGAGAGGTATCCATTACAATCTGGAGAACTCGTGCAAGTTCCAGCTCGGGTCGAGGTACAGCAAGATTCGCTAAGCCTTTAACGAAGTCTCGGCAGAAGGAGGGCAACCGCACACCACCACCACCGCCGCCTAATAGAGGATTACCACCACCGTCTGGGCAGTGGTGTTCGCATTCTCGAGCGCTGTGCGGGGGCGTATTGCGCACTTGCATGCCCCACAGATCTGGACGTCTTGTACCCCCAGGTGGCACTGGTGAGCAGCTTCCTTTTGCCCAACCTCCCCCCTACATCCGACGTCGGGGAGGAAGCACGACAGGAGCTCTCAACGCTATCTTCACGCACAATGTTTCGAGCCAGATCGATCTGTGAGGGTCCGGGACCCTAGGCGGGCCAAAAATGCCCGTCGTGGTGTTTTCATGCCGCGCTTATGGCCAGGAAGGGAGGGGGGATTAGGGAGGGAAGAGGAGGAGATAGGAGGGAGACGAAGGAGAAGAACGAGGAGAAGGAGTATGGGGAGGGCGGGAAATGAGGAGAAGGAGAAGCAGGAGGAGGAGGGGGAGGAGGAGGGATTCTAAGAGGACGAGGGGAACGGAGGGGGAAGAGTAGGAGGAGGACCAGAGTAAATGCAGGATGCGTCAACGATGCTGCAATGCACCCTCCCGTCCCAAATCCAATCCTCGTAAGTCTCTACAGACATGCCTTTTCTACTGCGGGATGCGCCCCCCTTGAATGACGAGGGACAAGCGGACTTGGCACTCAGGCGAGACCCCATTGGTAAAAGGACTCCACTCCATCGAGCGAAAAGACACGCAAAGAGGTACGATGATCAAGTTCAAAGGAGTGTCCAGCGCCAGCCCCGTTTTGAGAAGGGTTGACCCTCCAGCCGTGCGAGTTTTGCAAAGTATCCAAATCTGGTCACAGAATTAGTGGAAGAATCGAGGGGGGAGCCCCATTTTCAGAAGTAGTCGCCCTCCATCCGTGTAATCGTGCCGCAGTTTTGGAACGATAGGTCAAAGGATTTCAGGAAGTCTTTAGCGAGAGGCTGAAGCGAGAGGCGCATTGTAAAAACGAACCGGCCTCCATCCATGCGCTTAATTGTTGAAAGCGTTCAAGGCGAATTTGCACGGCGATAAAGAGAACGTCGCTTGTGAAAACAACCCCTTCCATCCGTGTAAATGGTGGAAGTTTGTGAAACGATCGAGCGCGGCGCTCAGGCGAGAGCCGCATTTTGAAATGCACCGGCCCTCCATCCTTGCAGTTGCGGGGGATTTGTTCAAGGAATGCGCGCGGCGATCACTTGGCAACCGCATTTTGAATACGGCCCGTCCTCCATCCCTGCAGCAGTTTGCAGGAAAGTCTCGCGCGAAACGCCCTGCCCAGCCCACAGACTCTGCTGGTGGTGCGACAGGGGGGAGCTACTTGTCAGGAAGAGGGACGTAAGAGCGCCGAGCGAGGATATGATTCATTGTCCAGAAGGAGGAAGGGGAGGGACGGTAAAGAATGCCCCCGGGGGCACCCATCCAACGGGACGTCGTTGCACCCTAGCGTGGGAGCAAGCCCCGCCAGAGGCCCGCGACAGAAAGCACCAGTTGGCTTGTTGATCGATCTTCGTACCTCGCCAAGCTGTCCTGTGCCGCAACAGGCTCGGCCTCGCCCAGCATGTTCACGAGCATGCTCGCAGCGACCAGCGCGTGGGCAACTCAAGTGAATCGTGACAAAGTTCAAAACGAGAGCGTGATTCCTGAGTGTCGAGGGTGCTACGTCTGAATCAATTGCGAGGAGGTCCCCCGCGAGAGCGCGATTCCTGTGATATCCTCACGTGTGGCAACCGACCTTTTGATTCTCCATCATTCGAGCCCGAAGCGGCCATTGTTGGCAGCGTTCGATGCCGACGGGGCCTTGACAAGAAGCCAGCGGAGAGCGCATCGGCACGATTTTCGCTTGCCTCTCGACGCCAGTGTGCCTGCGTGGCACGTCCGTGCCGTCCGCTGCGACGCGCCTAGGTGTGATGCTGTGCCTCTGTCAGCCCCTGGGAGGAGATGTCCCTCCATGCCAGTGGTGATCGTCGCCAGAACCATCCCAAGCCCTACTGCGAGAGGGTAGGTTAGCTGTCCTGGCGTTCCCCCGCTAGGGAGGGTTGGTCGGCTGGTTGGGCGAAGGTTTCCCCAGCGGGGGTGGGGGTGGCATTGTGCCGACCTGGCGAGGAAAACATTGCCGTCGCCGCCGAAGTGAACATCATCTACCAGCCCTACGTCGCCGTAAGCTCGTTCACGGGGTTGCTGCACAGGGTGTCGTCCTGCGAAGGAGGCCGCCGCCCCGGGTGCGGCGGTCGCCCTTGTCTATTCGGTCCTCCCACTGCTCCTCGTCTCGCCCTCCCCGTCGAGGGACCTCCACCGACCTTGAATAAGGGAAAACTCGGATAAACATGAAGTTTTGGAGGTCCGCGCGGATTCCTTCGATCGGCGCTGGAGCTCTTTGGCGACGCCTCCGGCGGTGCCCTTGGCGCGCTCCGCGCGCCAGATATGTGGGTCCAGCGCTGATCCAAAAATCCGCGCGGACCTACGGAAGCTTATTGTGTATGACGATGTGTCTGCGTCAAAGCCCGGCCGTTCCTGGGCGCCGGGTCGGTAAGGTGGTCAGTTGGCGTCCCCCGGTGTCCATCCACTTTCTCGGCCCCCCGATTGAGACTGCGCCTCTGCATCTCCGCACCGTCCTTCCTCCTCTTTCTGCCTCTGATTTCATGGCCATGTGGCTCATGTACCGTTCACGATGCTGTGGCGGTCCACACGGCCTTGGCGACCGCAGACTGACATTGCGTGCGCGCACTCATTTGCAAATGACTGTCAGCGCGAGAGCAGCCACAGTTATTGCGACGGCGTCGCCACTGTCATTTGTGTAGATCGGGTGGGGCCGTTGGGCACGGAACGGCCTCTGGGCTAGCGTCCGCTCCAGCACACGGCTCGGGCGACGCAGACGTTAGTAGGCGCAGGGATTGTAGGTCGGAGGCATCGGCAGAATCACTCACTGACCAGGCACAAACGCAGTTGGTGTTGGCAGAGAATCCTGGGCACTGCACAGGCAAGTCATCCGTTGGAAGGGCCCGCTGGGCCACACACATCAGATGAAGCGAGCTTGAGTGTACGAAGCGAAGTTGAAGATGTCCCAGGTCTGTCCCCTGGTGATGCGCGCACCTACGCGTTGGCATTCAAGAAACTCGACACGGATAGATGTATGGATTTTGTCCATATTCTAGCTGACAGGCGAGTAAGGAACCCTCGGAATCAACATCCATCATGCAAAATTGTATTGCAATAGTGCACGCAGGGAAAGAGGTCACGGGCAAGTCATCGAGGTCACGGGCAAGTCATCGAGCGCATCACGCGTTTATGAAGTGTTGCCACACTCAGAACCAAGATATAGCATCGCGGACGGATGAGAATACTCGATGTTGTGCCATTTCTCAGCGCGAATTTCGCAGCCTCGTTTGTCGATGCGTCGGTGTCTGCGTACTCGTGTGTGTGTGTGTGACGGTGTCCAACTTCATCGCCATAGATTATGTAGTTGCGGCTTCTGTTCTTCACTGCCGCACTCGACACCGCGTTAGTTGATACCATACTGAGCTTGGTATTACACGAAATGGTTCGCCTGCTTTTCCACCAAGTCGTCACACAGGAAGCGGAGCTTACACTCTTCCACCGTGCCAGCCGCATGTTTCGCATGATTCGCGCTGCTTGAATCTTTACCATCTGAAAATGTATGGTATGCTGCTCTTAGCTGCTTGGGTGATGGATCTTGCATCGCTCCAGTCGCCTCCCCAACATGCCAGATGTGGGCCAGCTTGACCAGCCGGCTTCAGCAGCGCAGATCCTCAAACCAAAATTGAGGCGGATGCGATATTGTAGCCGTGGGAGCAAACAACATACGCCTATCCCCCCCCTCCGCCCCACTCCCCCATGCCCTCTCCTCTCCAGCCCCCATCTCTTTCTCCGGGCTCTCCTTCTCCATCCAACCCTGTCGTTCGTCTCCATTCGCCCCAGGCAGCCTTCCGACTCGCCCCGCGAGCCCACCTCGGCGTTGGCACGTTCCCGTCATGAGCCACCTCTATCGGTGGTACGAAGATAGGGTCCCGAGGGATGGGGCCCTAAGGGCGAGGTGCCTCAAGCAATGGAAATCCACCCTTGGATCCCTTCCTATCCGTAGCACCCCATCTCTCAGGACCCCATCTTTGACCCACCGACTCTAGCCCTCCGACCATGCCCGACGTTGGCCACACCCTTACGAAGATTGAGGTCCGCGCGCCAGTGTC